GGGAATACCCCAGTAAATTGTCCTGATTGCCCCCCCCCCCCCCAACAACAACAACAAAAAACAGACTCTATTTGAGGCATTGATCGTTTCCCTTTCAGATTCATCTCTAGATAAACCAGAGAATATGAAAAGAAAACCATTTTTTAAATAAACAAAAAAAACATATTTGTTTCAACACAAAAAGCTCTGCTCAATATTCTATGAATCACATCAAAATGATCCTGCCCAACTCTGTCAACCACCCCCCCCCCCCCCTCCTTTCCCCTCCTTCTCCCTCTCTCTATTTCTCTCTACCTTTCATCTCTTGCTCTTGCCACTGCGCAGCTTGAAGGACGACATGTTCCCTTCTTTCCACCTACAAACATTAGTCTGCAAGCCTACTGAAAACTACTGGATTTCAAGCCTAGACTCCATTATGCTAATAAGCCCATGTTTGTGGAGTCAAGCTGGCGAAATAGGGTTCTGTGTGTCCATAGACACTGCACTATTATAGATTCTGAATAAATGCATACACACCGAAGGGCAGGCTACCAATACATTCCCATGCGTGTGTGTACGTTGTATGCACACTGAGTTTGTGTGTGCATGCCTTTGTCAAACAACAAGGGGACCTCTGTGTGAGTGGGTAATTTTCATGCATAATGCATAATGTATAGCCAGTGCACGCTGCATAATGGCAGACTGCCTTCTTTATGCATTTATGCATAGAGCTAGGATGCTCATGCATACAAGTGTACACAGAACAGCAGTGAGTGGTGGAAAGTATCGAGCTCTTTTGTGCAGTGTATTCCCCATGCATTGCCAGGTGCACTGGAGAACCATCTAGGATGATCAAGTTTCACCTAGGAGCGTGAATATTGCATGTACAAGGATTCTACTGATGAATAATCCATCTCGCTTGCCATTGCGACAACATTTTTAAGTAATACATGAAGGCCATAAGCACAATCTACAAAAACAATTCATCTTCAATTTATCCAGCCAGTCTATATCTTTTTCTCTACTTACTATGGAGAATATATCTTTTTTTTTTATCGCTCCCTCAAAATAATAGTTAATACTGATCCCACCCCACCCCAAGTAAATCCCGCTAATGCCAATGCCATGCAGTCGTAGAAACCCCTAACGGTGGTAGAACTTACAAGTGTACAATAGTGGATGAAATCCCCCACCCCTCCCCCCCCCCCCCACCCCAACCCTCTCCTCACTTTTCATTGCTGTGTAGCTAAGGGTGCGTTTATCATCCCTTTTTGGGCCTAGAATCTGCGTTTTCAAACGTGTTTCAGGCAATTTGCATGGTGATAAACGCAAGCCTGATTTCAAACGTTTTTAGAATTAGATATGGGTATATTGAAACGCTGGAAAAATGCGTTCTGAGTGTGAGAATGAGCCAGAATCACGTTTCTGAGAGATGATAATAAAAAAGCTGTTTTAAAACACACATACATGTACATGTATATCGGACCTTCCCAGGCACAAAAATGTCAGTGAATGCAAGACTTGCACAGAAGCAAGGAGAGTCACCTGACCAAAAACCGAAATCACTTACCGATGAGTGATCAAGAGCGGACATTTACACGGCAAAAATCTTGTGAAATTTCTGCCAGTGTCTGAAAAAACACACTCCACAGGTGGATTTTTTGTTGTGTTTGCCTGTAGCTAGGCAACTACATGTACATGTACCAACGAAACACCGAAATATGAGAACAGTCCTATGATTTTTTGCTTTCAGTGTAAACGCAGCTATGGTTAACAATTGGCTAGCCCAAACTTAACCAGAAGATCTCATCAAAAGCAATTTACAATGATTTTTTTTTTTAAATGGCAAGCACTCATAAGTGGCTTTTGGGAATGTAGTTGCCAAGGGAGGGGGAAGGGGGTGGGGGTGGTGGGAGGGGGAAGGGGGTGGGGTGGTGGGAGGGGGAAGGGGGTGGGGTGGTGGGAGGGGGAAGGGGTGGGAGTGGTGGGAGGAAAAAGGGGGTGGTGGTGGAGTCCAGGGGTTAAACAATATGCTTAAAGAAACCTAACCCCAAGAAACAACTTAAGTTATTCTGAGAGATTTATTGTATTCTGGCCCATTAATCTAAAATATTCTCAACCAAAGTGTTTGAGGAATAAAGCAAGAATAATGTACAGTTTCTCAGAACCACTTGGGCGATTGGGCATAGCCATTTTCTTGATTAAACATAACGTTCAATGCGAAGTCGTTTATCAATTAAATGTATTCAAATTCCTGGATGGTTCCTTTCCAGGTGTGTGTGGTGATGAAGCATTTCATTCACCTGCTATTATCCTTTACAATTGCCAGAACGCAAATTACATAAATAAATTGGTGCTCTTCTGTGTTGAAGGTTTCACATAAATTGATTTGTCGACTGCTCTATTTTAGTATTTTTAAAACTTAAATAAATGAGCTACAATTGTTACTCTGTTTTTTAAAGATTTCTCCAAACATAATTTTTACCTTTTCAGCTATGATTTTCCCTCATTGAAAAGTAAAGGTTTTGATATTGAATTAAAGTTTATCCAACTAACGCTTGGTTTATGATACATGACAAGTTCGTCTGGTACGTCACATTATCAAGAAAATGGCAGCGCCCATGTCATGCTAGAAGGCATCATACCATGCCAAGAATATCTTCATACATAGTATCTGTCTTACACTTTGTATGAAATATTGTAAATTAAAGGGCAGAATTACATCTCATATTCATTCACAAGTTTTTGTCTCATTCAATGACTCTAGAGTGACTCGGTAACATTGCCTCAGATTCTGAAACAAATTCCCGGATCTAGCTCATGCTGCAATCATAATTATATACCTTTATTTTAGGTCAGCCAGGAATCCCATGACTTTTAAAAGCTGATTGCTCATCTGATTATCAAGATATTTTTTAAAGGGAAATCAGAAAAAATTATTTTTAGTTTTCCTAACGGTTTTTATAACACTACAGTCCAGGAAAATGAGTACGGTATGGTAAAACCTGTCACTCAAAGATTTTTACTTTTAAGAGGCACTTCATCTTTATTTTGAAGCACAATATTTTAGGGCTTCAATATTCCACCATATTAAAGACACTGATAACATGTAGGGACATGCATCTCAGATTTAATGTTGTTACAAGATGCCTGTAGGGGCAATCCAACCTTTGTAATAATTTAATTTGAACAAAAGCAGGAAAATAAGAGAAACAGAACAGCAAAAGTTTTGAAATAAATTGGACCAATAATAAGGGAGCTATGAATGTCTGAAATATCAGATCACTACATCCATGCAAATCTCAAATTGGCAATTTGGTCAGTATGTAGTGACGTCGTCATGGACAACTACGGTATCCAATTTGTTGTGTACAAATAAATCATTAATTTCTTTTTTTTTTCCTAGCTGGGGCCTACTCAAAAAATGTTATAGATCGGAAAGACCCTCCTGAGTCATACATTTTGAAAATTGAAATTTTTGTCATTTTTAGTGTTGGAAATATGAGAAAGTTGACTGGAACTTTGTCACGGTGACATTACCAATGCAGCCAATGTGGAATCTCCACCTACATGTAGGTATAGAGATTACAACTTTCAAAAATTCATATTTTTCTTCTTTTTTGTCTGATTTCTTTCAAACTACCACTGGTCTACTTCTCTGATTTTTCTGCTTTCACACAAATGAACTTTAATATTGGAAGGTTGGATAATTTGGATTGCCCAACAAAAATCAGGGTACATGTAGACTACTCCTTTAACTTAAATGGGAAGCCCACCCTGATATTAATGTTTGGTGTTAATACAATTACAATATAGCTCAGTAACAAAAATGAGATGAACAAGTCACTGGAATTTTGAGCAAGATCTGATTAAAAATAAGATTATGAAAGTTAGAAATGTTTAAGTTGCAATCTATCACACAAAAATTGGCAGGTCTATGACTGTGACATATGATACGGTGTATATTACAAGGTCTACTCCTCACCACTTTGCTCTGAAGGAAAATGTCATAAACTTTCATTTTCTTAGTTATCAATGAAGGTACATGTAAAATTTGTAAATGTATGGATTTGTTACATACAGGGTAACAGGGGTTGTGTACTATTAATTTGCAATCATCATATTTATGGTGCACGATTGAAAATTTTCTTCAGAGAAAATAGATTTTTTTATCCAGTACAGAGCAATGAATGTGTGGGGACCTCGTACATGTACGTCACAGAGTTGCCAATTTTTGTTTGATTGATCACAACTTCAAATTTTCAAAAATTTCTTTATCTTATTTCTCATCAAATTTTACTCAAACTTTCATGGACATGTTTCTCTCATTTGTTTTTATTCTATAAAAACCAACTTAATGTAAATCTACATGTATATATTATTGTTTTCTCAGTTGTTTTCATATAAATTGAGGGCGAAAAAACAAGTTAGCTAGCCGCTAAGCATCACTTCTTTCTCTGTTTGTGTCTACTTTTAAAACAAAGTCACATCACCTGATGGCATAGACTAGACTCTATGTCAGAATTTAAATATCCTAGTTTTCACATAGATCTAGACCCTATTCCTTATTGCCTTAATTTTATTTCAGACTCAATTTGAGTTAGGAGTGCATCTTGCATTCAGCATCATCTTTAATCAAATTTTCGATTCAAGAATTGCAAATCATATCAGCCCATGCACAAGTGAAAAGTCATGATCACTCAACTCAACTCAACTCAACTCAGACTCTCGGCTGTCAGAATCTCACACACACACAACCCAAACTGCATTTGTATGCAACACAAGACACACTATTTCAAGATCGCAATCGAGATGCTATCCACACACCAATTTCATCAAAATATGAAGATGTTCCCTGCCTTCCTTTCATTTCCACTTCATTCTAGACTTTCAAAAGACTTATCAAATATTCAAAATATGATATCAACAAAGATACAACTCATTGCATGAATTTAAATACCCTAGGATGAATATCAATTACTTCACATATCGGAAATATGAATATGTAAAACTGCGAGTACCTGTCCTTTGATCGTCATCTTCCTTCGCTTCGTCCGCCATTTTGCATATTAAAATACTAGCAAATCGACTGCGCGCTACTTGATTACGTAGGGGCGTACACACTACAACTGCTTGTCCCGAAGACCTCCGGAAAATAATGAGATATTGCTCAGCTTAAAAACACGAGATTCAACAAATGAAATCAAAAATCACTCAATTGGTTGTATTTTTAATAAAAATATAATGAAGTTCCTACCTTTCGTTCCTTCAGTCTGGGAATAAACTGTGTAGTTTCGACAATCTTCCGATGCCCAGATATTCACCGAAAATTAATTCAGCTACGCTGTGATGCAAAGTAGACAAAACGTGTTAGACTCTGAACAGTCGTTTTCTACATGGTGTTGTAATTATTTCGCAAGTTGTGACTTAATTGTTGCGTTGTGAATTCTTGTGGTAGGCCAACATTATTTTATGACTTTTTCGTTGTATCATACTATGTTCCATTTATTTTTCAATGAAGTGTTCAATTCAATTTATCATATCATGAAGGTCTTTCTGTTCAAATTAATTGTAAAACAAACTTTTTCAGCTTCCATGTTTTAATGTTTGTTTATTATTTTGTTTTTGTTTTTAAATAAACTAATCTCAGTTGAATAATTCTGAAATTATTTGAAAAATTGCGGAAAAGCAGTACCTTACAAAATTAATATGCATTATGACGTAACAAATGAACATTTACCCAAGTCCATCTGCAGTGGCGAAATTTAGTGTGGGGGTACGCCCCTCTCTGCCCCCCCCCCCCCCCCCCCCTCCCCCTCAACTCCCGAGCTTCTGTGATTACTTTAAAGGGATATGCGACCTTAAAAGTACTCTAAAAGAAGGCAATAAACATCAGAGAAGCAGACCGGTGAACATTGCGTCCCTATTTTCACGAAGTGACGGTAGTGAATGAAAATCGCATACAATTTGCGTGCGTATTTTCCTCTCTACCGTCACTTCGTGAAAATAAGAACGAGGAACATACTCGGAAGAAAAAAACTGAGGAGAAAGTTATGAATTTTTAAAAGTTGTATTCAGTTGCAATGATGTAACAATGTATGGGACAGCTGCTATTTGTAATGCTTTTAATAAATATTTTGTAAATATAGACCATAAACCGTCTTCTTCTTTAGCAAATTCTGGGGACTGTATCAGTCTGTATGCAATATGTAATGACAAAATGAGATCATCTGCATTTTTTACTCCGTGTATAGGCCTAAACCAAAAGAAGTTATTGATATTGTTTCTAAATTTGAAAATGACAAGAGTCCTGGTTTATACTACATGTATATACCTCTGTTTTATGACCTTAATTCTAAGAGTATAATATTTATGTTTAACAATGAGCAATATGTATCTATTTAAGCTCTAAAAATCTTTTAACAATTGCTATTTTGCATTATTTTCAACTCAATACAAATATGCATGGCCATCAAACCAGGTGTTCAGGAGTTTTTCAGGGGTAAGGACGCTATGGTTTTCCAAAATACAATTTTCTTCAGGGGTTCCAAAATTTGGAATGATATTCCGATAGACATTAGATCGAGGTCATCACTGAGAAAGTCAGTTAAAAGAAAATTTAAATTGCATTTGTTACAACAATACTCAAAAGTGCAATAGGCCTATAACTTTAATTTTCATCTAACAGATCAATAAATGCATGTGTATTGATTTGGACACATGGAATGTGTTTGTTTGAAAGTAAATTATTACCCTTTTCCCTTTAATTTTTTGTTTTATATAATGTATAGGCCTATGAAAAAAGTTTTTTGATACAATTACTGAAGACAGGCTTTTTTTTTTTTACATATAAGGCCCGGCCTTCCTGGCTAGTCTCCAAATACTTTCATTAATGTGTCATGCACCCCCCCCCCCCCCCCCCCCCCCATTGTCTTCTCCGCTTTTGTTATTCTCATGTTTGATACATGTATCATAGTTTAACTGTCATAATTTATGTTTGTTTTTCTTTGGATATTTTTAATGAAATTATTGAATAAAGTGAGCTAGAAATATTTCACATTGGCTGCATCGGGAGGGTCATTGTGACGACGTGCTGGACAACTTCCCCATTATTTTGTTACAACACACTTATGACTGATATACGGCAATAACAAAATATACGACTAAGGATGGTCTTTTCTTTTGATAAAACTGTATTAACATGCTACCCTGAACGTAAGTTGATTAGTGCCCCATTCAATCAGGAGAAGAAGGGGGGAAAAAGATATTTGCAGTGACTAAATTTCAAATATGCCGCATTCGCATGTAATATATTTCAAACATTCATAACTTTCTTTAGAATTATATAAACTTTAACTTCTGTTTCTCTTATTTTTCTGCTTTCATATCAAATCATTGCAAGAGTTATTTATATATTTGAAGATTCCCCTTTTGTCTGTAAAATAGGAACAAATTCCTTTTTACTTCTGAGATATATCTAGATCTAGAATTTATTACGTGCAAGTCGCATGATTGATTTTTTTTTAAAAATAGAAAGTAAGAATAAACGAAAATAAATAAAGTAGAAGGTATTTTAGGCCTATTGGCGCATGTAATCCATTATGTTAGATATGCCCTTTTATCAATGAAGTAAAGTGTATATAGGCACAATTTTAATATGAAAAGGAACAGTCATATCTTAAATAAAAAATATACAAGTGCGGATCGATATCTAAAGGGCCGGGGCATGAATAACAAATCCGACAGTAATTTCTTCACGAACACGAGTTAAATATTCCACCGGTGCATGATCTCCAAACGGGCCATGCATGTCAGAAGATCTCTGACATGTGAGCAAACACACAAAATAACACGAACGAACATCCGGGCCCCGTCCTATAAAGACTCAGTTGCGATTGATCCGAATCAATCGCTGTGCAGTCTTCTATCTCTTAGTTGCGATCATCGTTCACATATAAGTTGAGATTATTATCACCTCTTTATAATACGGGGCCCGTTATCCCTCATAATTCTCAGGCTAAGCTTCTCAGATATCCCCACCCCTTGTCTGGGATTGAAAAAACAGAAAGAAAAAAGAGAGAAAGAAGAGAGACAGATTGACAGGAAGGAAGACAGATTGAAGAAAAAAAAGAAATAGAGGGGGGAGGGGAAGGAAATAGAGAAACAAACAAACACACAAAACGTACATTTGGGCCCCGTCATAAGTTGTGATTGATCCGAATTAATCGTAACTATGCAGTCTCCTATTATCTCTTATGTACGTATAGTTGTGATCATCATTCACATAAATTAAAGGTTGCGATTAATATCAACTCTTTGGCAAGACGGGGCCCTGATCATCATCCCTCAAAAGCCTTTTCAAATACCCCCCCACACACACACACACACACACACACACACCCCACAAACAGAAAGAAAATGAGAGAGAGAGAGAAAGAAAAAAGAAAGAAGGAAGACAGATTGAAAGAAAGAAATTGAGGGGGGAAGGAATAGAGAAACAAACAAACACACAAAACAAAAACAAAAGGAAAATAAAAAACAAAAGAAGCACTGGAAATTTGATTTTTATTCCGAAATTTTGTAAATCAACAATGGGCTCAGTTCCAGTAGTATTATATGTGCACACTATTGTGGTTCTGTATTTTATAGGTACGATTACAGCTTTGTTGATATAAAAAAATAAACAAAATTATTGGCCTGACTAATATAAGCCTAATAACGAAAAGAAAAAAAATTACCAGTAAAATGCTCCATTCTCTCACACAAACAAGTAATTGATCCCTTTGAATATTCTTTTTTTTTAATGTATAATTTTTGCTAGTCCAAATTCAGCCAACATACTACCTTTGAACGACTACTAATACTTTATGAGATGACATAGTATGACTCAGTAACCTCAGTTAGTTTTATGGTTTTGTTATAGGTAGTGTTCTTGATCCCGGTTTTGATCATATATTTTATTGCTGTTTTTGTTGTTGTTGTTGCTTTGTTTTGTTTTGTTTTTCATCTACTATGACTGACGTACTCCGCGCTCTCGAACGAGTAACATAGAAATTAATTAGCGCCATCTCGTGACATATGACAGTAAAGCCCCAAACTTGAGTTGTAGTTGCGACACTTTTTATTTGCCTGATCAGTATAGGGTTAGATCGAATTAGTATTTACAAATAAAAAGTGATTGTGAGCGCGAAAGAGCAATTAATTGGGAACTAGTCCAGTTAGCTCTATCCTGCATATATATAGCCGGCCCGAAGTGCTGAAGTAGACCCAAAATTTTATTCAAAGGGGAGGGGGGCTGGTATACTAATTTCATTTTCAAAAATCCCATACCATTGCAAAGCGCCCAAATTTAAACAAAACGATTTGATGTGCAAATTTACCATGATTAATTGTATAATTAGAAACGGACATGATCGAGGGGCACTAACTAGAAAGGGAACATGAAAGAAATACGACTCACTTCAACATAATTATAGGCCTATCATTATTCAGTCATTGACCTTGATAATTCACATAATTTATGTCATCCACCGAGTAAGATCATAATAATAACAATAATTTTTTTTAACAGTGCTTATAAAGCACTTTCCACCGAAGTCTCTAAGGGCTATATAACAAAAAATACAATCATAAATAATTTCATATTAAACAAAACAAAAATTACAAATAAAACTACAGATTAAAATACATATAAAATTGATACATCAATGTGAACAGAGTAAGTTAATCATCAAAAGCAATTTTGAATACGGTATATGTGTCTTGACTGGAATAATCTTGATATTACTCTTTTTTCATGTACAACCATTTTTTTCGTTTAAAGTTAAACTTAAAATTCTTTTTTATTAATATTAGGTCTATATTATATAGACCTAATATTAATAAAAAAAAGAATTTTATACCAAACTCATTTCATGATATAGGCCTATGTTTGTTAATAATTCTCTCTGAAATGGTGTTTGTGTGTGTGATTTTACTGATTCTATTTTTGTACTGATTCTATTTTGTTAAATACATATAGTTTTCATCTGACATGTACACACAATGGAATAATCTGGAGGCTTCCTATTTACAATAGGGGGGGGGGGGGGGGAACGTGCACCCCTCTTTAACTTAGCTACACTTGTTGCCTAGCTAGTCTTATGTGACAGGAAATTAATATTTTACTTCTCGTTTGACGCTACTAAAAATTATTCTAATATTCAAAATCTTCTATTTGAATTACATTTGAATCAAAATAATATGTATTTTTTTAATTACAAAAAAAAACAATGATGTAATTAAATGACTGATTTATATCCCGAGCTTAGTAGTAAAAACCGACCCGAAAGCATCTAACAACGAAGTCGGGTCAAAGGTGACATATTTCCCTGACGATAATCGACGCCGTTCTGAATTCTTTGTAGATTGTTGGTTGGAATATGAACATGATTGTGGAATAAGCTTCTGACTTAAGAATGGAGAAAGGGCGGTAATCCTCACCTAGGTGTTGTTAGGTAAGTTACAGATTAATAATTAAGTAATGTCTTTTTCTAGCTTCTTGTATATTTCTGACTGAACCGACAACTGCAAACCGAGTGACGAGTCTGCTGCTGCGGATCTGTGTAGTGTACTCCAGACTGTGGCACGGCGCCGCAAACCCACGACACTGCGCCGAGCTGCGCTGGTTGGGCCCGAGTGTCGGACTTGAGCTACACACTGCACCTTCTTCTTCTTCTTCCTCCGCTCTATCGGATATCAGCAGCTACCAGGGTACTGCAGTTTGTCATAGCAGGCAGGATTGTCATGTCAGGTAGAAAATGTACTATTAGCGATTGCATTAGCACGAGCAGAGTGGATATTGTATAAAAATGACAGTGATGCATTAATAAGAAGGTTCTTTTGGTTAGGGCAGACAGTTAGAACATTCGGAAGTACGACTGCCCGCGTGAAGGTCTCAGGGTCAAATTAGGGTGTCTGAACGATTTTTCAATTTTCAATTTGGGATCGTTTTTCACCATTTTTGTTTGATATTTGAATAAAAAATGTTATCAGAATAATACATTTCAAATTTCAAGTCTCACCGATGTTTCTATCAAAAGTTACAGCCCCTCCAACACGCTGGTATATTCATATCATTTTGGTCAAAATCGACGAAAAAGACGTCCACGCAGAGTGATGTTGTTTTGCTAAATTTAGCCAAACAGCTGTATCGCGCGATATGCAAGCGTATGCATATCGTACGCATGCTGCTAAGCCAATCCGCGACTTGCAGCTTGAGCTACGCTGTCTCCGCGACATGTGCGATTGACTAGTATGGTTGGCGTTCGTCGCACAATAAACCCGGAAGTGAATGCACGTTATAGTCAATGGCAATATCGCGGAGACAACGCACGTTGTCTCCGCGATATTGCCATTGACTATAACGTGTATTCACTTCCGGGTTTATCGAGGGAATTGCCAACCATAATTTCAGTCACTTTTTCGTTCGTGCGCGGAGATGTTACGCGATGTAACCATGGTTTGGACTGAGCGGAGCGCACGCCTCCTAATTAGCTGATCCACCAAATAGCGAGAAGGGTATTTTTAAACTGTTATCAGTTGTGATCCCTAGGGGCTAGCGAAAATATAATCACATAGAATTGTTCCTTAGGACTGGGACTACTTATCGATCGGGGCGTCATATCTCAAAAGTGACAAACCTCAGAGTTAGCCAGGACACAATGTTTAAATTGCTGTTTTGACCAAGATATTTTTAGAATTTCGGGGGCTACGCCCCTTTGGAAATATTGGAATTCACCTGCTCTTTCATATGACACCTCATTCATTGATTATCACCTTCAGGATCACAACTGATAAAGGTTTGAATCTCGATTTGAAAAAAAAAAATTGACTTTTTTTGCATGGTCGCGCAATGCACGTAGGCTGCATAGGGATGCGTGTAATCTCTATGGGAAGAATTTTAGCACACAACATCGGGTGCGCGATCAGACACCCTAGTCAAATCCCTGAAATACAGCACCAGGCATTATTCAGACTTTCACTTTACTTAGGATTAGACTGTCACAGACATGAAAGGCTGACAGGAAGTCCTTGACCTTTCGGACCTCTCGTAATTGATAAATTATGAATGATGTGAATAGAAAAATATCTCAAATATTATTATTAACCCCCACAACCTGACAAGTCAACAGAAAAATAGAGCATTAGACTTTTTTAGAGTGAAGTAAATTAGACTAGATCTAGGGCAATGCGCTTCTGTCTTCACAAAGTTAGCATGGATGTGTCCTGAACAGACATTTTGCTGACCTAACAATACAGGTACAGAAGTCAGAAAGTCAAAACGATCAATTTATTTAGCGTCCTGTCGAGCACACAAGTCACACAACTATAAATTGTTGAATTCGACTCTTTGAGTCAAACTATCTAGACCTCTAGACCCTGATTCTATCAAAGTTACTAAAATACTTAATGATTTTAACAATCAGCATGGACAAGGTGTGAAAAAACAAGATTCTTTTACTACTATTAGTATTACTTTAGTTTAGTTTTCTCATTTGTTTTGAACAATTCTTGATTCTTGATCTTTCTAAAACTTTAAAGACTTGGCCCCTCTCCCTCATTTGAATTTTTCCATGTGGCACCCATAGTCATAGTCATAGTATATCCTTGCAGCTACTCCCCTCACCTACAATCTCATTCCCAGTTTAGCTTCCTGAGTGAGCTGCTAAAGGGATTACTACTCCTTAGAGTCCTTCTTGTTTAAGTATCAATTTTTCCCATCTCTTTCCTGTCTTGCCGCCATCTTCCCCATCTTTCCCCTTCCCTGGACTGGCTAACTTACTTAATTACTTGGTATATTACTCACTCCCAGTCTCTTATGTATGCTTTGTGCAAGAGATCACAAGACTGTACTCTAGTCTTGGCTCTTCAGTAGAGAGGACAAGCTGGGTCATTTAAAAAAAGAATGAATACACTCCAATCCTCTTTGAAATAGATTTACATTACAACCAGATTCAGAAGAACAGTCATCACATTCACTCCTTGCACTTACATCTTATCGATTGATGACTTGTGTCACCTTTTGTTCACCTTTTTGTCCTCTTGTTTTAATAGTTGAAGTCCTCAATCTGCTCTTGGACTCTGTTGGAGAACTGCAAGATCCTGAGGATTTGCCCACATCATCAAGAAGTTACACTTTCATGTAGGAAAACACGGAAACTCGCCACTGGACTGAATACACTCCCAATAGATGAACTCTGTCACCAAAAGAAAAGATTTGCATGTATTTAGATCAACTCTAAAGTGATAGTTTGACTTTCGGTACCAATATCAGAGCTTAGACTGCTACAAGAATAGTTTTTCAGAAATTGATGACTGAAAAGTAAGAAGACATCATTTAAAAGATTCAGTGACTTAGAAGCCAAGACCATTGTCAAGATGGGAGAAGAGAAAGGAAGAGATGAGGGGAATGAGGCTGGACCAGGTCAGATGTATCAACCTTACATCATCATGGAAGACCTGCTCGATAAACTCAAGGTAACACATGTTTTTCTTAAAGGGGAAGTCCACCCTGATGATATCAAGTTGTTGTTTTTTTTATTGAAAAAATAGCAAAAATAAATACATGTACATGTACAATGTACATGTACATACACAGATCAGTAAATGTTTAAATAAAATAAAATCCGATAGAAATTAAGGAATATATTAATTTTAAGTTGTAATTGATTTTAAAAACACAAATTGACGACTCTGTGATGTACCTTTTAAGTACAAACAAAACTTTACAACTGTATTGTTCTTTATTGGTTCTCAAAAACTTTTACTGATCTGTTTCACTCATTTTCCTACTCATAAAACTAACTTCTTAACAATGATATAAAATGTACTTCACCTTTAAAGGGATAGAGAGTTCTGTTACACAGGGTGCTACACAATTTTTTTTTTTGTGAGATAATGAAAAACTGAGTGTCAAATTTGAAAGAACATATAATTTAAATGACAAAATCATCTTTGTTTGATCAAAATTGGTTCAGAGACGGCTGAAATATCCATAAATATAACAATTTCTAATATTTGTGTACCACCACAAATATTCAATAATATGAAAACACCGTTGAAAAAACGAAATTGCGCCTTTTAAGTTGTATTTCAGCCAATGCCGATATTGGATTTTTTGTTGGCATTGTCGTGTTGGTTAAATTACGCACAACCAGCCGGCCCATGTATTGTTTTTATAGAATAATTAATTAATTAACAGTCACCATACTTTTTGGAAAGTGGAGCTGATTTGGTATAATGGTATTGGATAAATTTTACACATTTTGGGGTTTAAAATTACCTTCATAGCACTAGAAATATCTTAGATAAGAACAAGATGCACTTTGAAGGCATTTGCCGTCTGAAAACAGAACTCAACTATCCCCTTAAGTCTCGCACTTAGGTTAATTCCAAATTGGCAAAGTCTGCAGGTATATCAATTTCTGTATCTTTACAGCTTTTGAACTATGAGGAGGAGTTTCTGAAAGAACTTGGCTTCAAGCCTCTTTCCAGGCACTACTTCGCTATTGCTACCAATCCCGGGGAGCAGTTCTACATGTTCACATCACTCTCAGCCTGGTTAATAAGTCTAAGTGGCAAGCAATTTGACAGGCCACAAGAGGTAATGTACAGTATATGTGAAGAATAGTTTTCTATCTAAATTTGTATTTTTGTAAAAACAAGTCCATGTGATGAGCATTTTGATAAGCATGTACAAATGTATGTCACCAGTAACAGACTTCTAAAAGGAAAGTTGTATGCTTATAATATAATTATCTTTGGTAATATTGATTGGTTCATAAAAAGAAAGCTTTAGAATGAAATTGATACTTGTTTAGAAAGGAGAAATTTTGATATTTTTATTGTAACTTTCTTTCACGGTGAGCCATATTTGAAATATGTGTGCCAAGAAATATCTAAATTGACTCCACAGTTGTAAGCTTTTGATGTGTATACAATGTACAATGCAAACAAGTATGAACATAATTTAAGTCACGGCCAACTATAGCAATAAATGTTAAACTGTATGAGACTTAGATAATTAATTAGTTTTCATTTTCTCTTCACTAGAATGTGCAATTGATTTCCATCCTGACCACATCAAGAAAAATCTTGCATTGGATTTAAAAATCTGTACATAGCCCCGGTATAATTTTTTTTCTCCCATTTTAGTAACAAAAAAAGAAATATAGTATTTCATACTGCGTTTTTTATTCATCAGTACGATGATCCAAATGCCACAATAGCAAATATCCTGGCTGAAGTTCGCCAGCTGGGGGCGGCAACAGACTTTCCTCCTAACAAACTCAAGACCGGACATGGCGAATACTGCATCTACGTCTTGGACAAGCTAGCCGACGAGGCCCTCAAGAAGTCTGGATTCAAATGGGGAAAGTAAGTTGAGAAAAATGTAGGAAATAATGTTAACGCCCCCCCCCCCCCCCCCCCTCAAAAAAGAAAAGAAAAAAGAAAGCATTAATAAGAGTATGACGGTGAACAAGATTTGCAGCTGGTTAGAATTGTTTTCTGTTAGTTGTTGAAATTTCATACATTTTTGTTTTGATAATGGCCATTTTTACTACCAGTACTTTAGAAAAATGTCAGGTGTATTGTTTTACAGATTTAATGAAGAGGAGGAAGAAGTATAGCATTGATAAAACAGATCATTTAGAAAAAATAATGTGTCAGAGAAAGAATAAAGATATTTTATATTAAAAAGGAGAAAAGCTTAATACCCTGTACAGTACATGCATAAATATGTGTTGTAAATAATAATCAGAAATGACTGATTATGCATAAAGTACCAAAGTGTGATGTCATACTGGCTAAGTTTTCAAGGTTGCTGTTTCCAAACAGTTCTGTGCTAAACAATAGTGTGGTGATCACACCAGCACCAAACACTAAATTTGCCCTGCTCCAGCCCATTGATTGCTTGAAGGATTTTGTGGTGAACCTCACCTTTTCCCCCAATGATCTACAAATGTATGTGATATACTTCCTGTACTGTACTTTTTGTCCTCTTTTCATATATTTGTATGTTTAAGCGCTATGGTACTTATTGTTTTTAGCGCTCCTAAATATTCAATATTATTAAACCAGGGGGTTGTTTCTCGAAACCATCATAAGTCTAACTTCTTGGACATCCCTTTGAAACTAGTGTTATAGAATTTACACGCTTTTCTATGGGATGTCCACAAACTTAGACTTATGACGTTTTGATGAAACTGGCCCCTGGACGACGAGCACTTCGATATACTCTATTGTACTAATCAAAGGCAATGCTCCATTTCCATTTCTTCACTCTTCCAGGCCTCTCTATCCAGAAGAGGAGACCGAGGAGGAATCTACGGTCGATGATGATGTCGAACTCACGCTAGATAAAGTAGATGACGAGATAGCTGTAAGTTAATTCATCCATTTTTCCATTTTTGTTGTAAATGTTGATATCATTATCATTGTGAAGACCATAGGTACAACTTATCAAAACGAAGAGATGGAGCATTGGTGGGCACTTTTTGGGGCCAACGTACCCTGTCGAAAGAATACATGGTGTAACTGCAAACCTCACTCAAATCTATCCTCTGCATTGAAGCATTCAATGATTACTTCATCATCATCATCATCATTATTTGCACGATAATTATCATCATTTTCATCATCTTTGTATTATTACAGGTTGTATTACCTTTATCCTGAGTCTGTTCATTAAAGAGAGTCTGTAACTTTGCCTCTTCTTCTTCAATAAAATAAGAATAATAATGATATAATAATAATAATGATAATAATAATAATATTTAATTTAAAAAAATGAAACGGTGCTCATAAAGTGCTTTCCACCGAAGTCTCTAAGCGCTAAATACCGTTAATGACTTTCCTATAAATGCTGCAAAGCAATCATAAGTATAAACATTTATGTCAGACAGGAATAGACAGAGTTTTGTAGGCAGAATGCGCATCCATGTCTCACAACATTTATTATTAAAAAAAAATTGAATTTCAAAATAAGAACAACCATCTCTGTCAAACTTGTTATTCTTATCCTGATTATTATCAAATATCATCATAAACTTTCTCTCTCTTTTCTTCTCTCTATCAGGAGGAAGAAGATATAGAAGAAGAAGAAAGTTTTCTTGATCTGGAAGGGCTAAGGAATCTTCAAACGAACAAGGTTTGTGGTCTGCTTTATTCAAGGATTTAAGGCTCAACCGAATTCTTGATGGTAATTTTAAAGCCAGTGGGTCGTCAGTTTCTTTATTCAATTTATAGATGTTTCTTTCCTGGGGACCTAGTGATGAGTTATTCCACTAACCTTTTATTAATAAATGAACTACAATACTTGGAATCCAGTCTGCACATATTACTTGTTGCTATATCTTGCAAGTCTCGGGCAAGATTTCAGGTTGTCAAGAACAACCTTTGTTTATAAGAAGTATGCACGAAATTTGAATGAAATTTGAATATGTTACCAAAAAGTTCTATTGAAGTGGCATGAATATAATACACTATACATTATTAATCTTCACATTAATTACCTTTGACCCGTTGACAGGAAACAGCAGAGAGCTCTAGACCTGAGGAGATCATGGAGTCATCGGTTGATGCTAATGAGTGGAGGTTAGAGGTCGAGAGGGTGACCCCATCCCTAAAGGTACGATCGTCTTTGAAATGAATTGGCTGTCCCATATTGCCTCCAATATGTACCGTATTAGAACATAGAGTACTTTAAAACCAGAGAGTTTCCTTGCATGAACTTTCCAGAACTTTGCCACTCTCCCCCAGGTGACGGAAATGGGTTCCCGTTAGGAAGTAATTACTTGAATGATTTAGTGGCCTATTAGCTGAGATAAAGCTGGGGAAAATCTTCTCCCCCTCTCTCTCATTCTTCCTAAACTTTTCTTCCTCGCCTACCTCTCCAACCTCCGCCTCCTTTACTCCATCTGTCTGCATGCCTTCTCTCCCCTCTTCTCTCTTTACCCCCCCCCTACTTTCTCCTTTTCTTCCACTCTGTCTATTCCAAGTGAAATGACTTATTTACACTCGTTTACACTTTATCTCCAACCTATAATGTACCCTCTACTTTCCCATCTCTTTCACATTTTCTTACATCGTTTCCTACTCCGAGCCTTTACCCACATGTTCAGAAAATCATAATCCCCTTAATTAATTTTTGTTGCCAACCTATGCATGATTAATGCAGGCACGATTAATAATTGTTACTATACATGATTGATATATAAATGTAATGTATATTGATCAATGATTAATTATACATGATTAATATATAATTGTTATTATGCATGATTGATATATATTTGTAACTGTAATGCAATATTGTTTGTATATGTCTTATATGTAGTGCGACCTGCCATGGTTTCGGAAAGGGAACATGGACCTGGTCTTGAATGTACACATGTATTCCTTTTATATGAAATAAAGGCATGATTTAACAACATTATTATTATTATTATTATTATTATCATCATCATCATCATCATCATCATCATCATCATCATCAAAAATGTATTATTATCATTGTTATTATTTCCTTGAAAGGTCCACATTAGAACAGATAACAAGGACTGGAGAACACACGTTGATCAGATGCATCTACACAAAGATGGGATTGAGACGGCTCTCTCAGAGACCAAGGTAAGAGTACTTCAAAGCAAGATTGTAGGAGTTTGTCAGCCTTAATGTTGAATAAATAAAAACAATCACAATGCCAACAACATATACATGTAAAAGAGAAAAAAACAAGTATAAATCACAAACCGATACAAATATGGTTGCATTTGCAAAGGCCACAGGCCTGTCAATGGCTATCACCATTACACAAAATATGATATTTGTATATGTATATATATATCTACCAGGTATATTAAGAAAAAAAGGCATTTAAGATATTATTAAGAAGCACAAGAACTAGTTATCAACTAGGTTTCATACCGTAAATGGCAATATAAGTCAGTTGAAAATTAAGTATTTATAAAGAATATAAAAAAAAACAATATTAACTTTTTTTTAAAAACAAAACAAAAAAAATCTTTTAAAGCCCGCCTGCACTACTTTAGGCAGGAGGGATTGGGCCACCCAGCCTAGTCACTGACAGGTGGTTATCTTATCAAATCAGCTCTCAATTAACATAAGAAAAAGGGGATCATGGGGGACCAGCGGTCACCAATTAGGGATTGTTTGCTATATAGAGGGCGCAAGTAGCTATAAGTTGTGCAGTGGGGCTTTAAACACGGCAAGTGAGGGACAGATTTTACTTCGTTGCTTAGGGAATTCCTTGATATCACCTCCATATTTATAATTTATCAGGGTTACCTTGACAAACTGCACAAGGAGATCACAAGGACGTTGGAGAAGATAGGGAGCAGAGAGAAATACATCAACAACCAGCTTGAGCATCTACTACAGGACTTCAGAGGGACACAAGATGGTTTAGCCGAGGTAAGTCTGCAGAGGTGTTGTGGTCTAGTGAATAAGTCTTCGCAATGCCAACCACAAGGTATGGGGTTCGAATCCCTGTTGAAGCACTTAGGTTACAACTAGTTAATGTACCATCATCTGACCATCATATCACTGTGAAATTCCCATCATGTTCATGTTCATATTACTGTTGTATTACTTTCTTAGTAACACCATGGTACCAGCATATTCTTGTTGTATTACTTTCTTGGTACTATCATGGCACATTTGCCTTCATATTTTTGTTCAATATGCTGTCAAATTTTTTAACACATTCATGTTCATTATCAATTTCATTTTACGGTGAAATTATAGTCATATTATAGTATTAATGACTGCTTTGAGAGAAATAGTTGTTTTTATACGACCAATTCTTCGCACACGTACGGTATCCTCGATCACTCAGACCATTTTTTAACATGTAAACCAATGGGGTAACCATGGAGACTGAACTATTTTCCCGGTAACCATGGTTACTGGGATTTTAGAACTATTTTAACCATGGTTACTGGGAATTTTACAGAAATAGTTAAAGTTTATGAATGCAATTTCGACCAATCAGATGGCTGGATTTGTTAAGTGAGGTATATAATTACCTTTATATTAGTTTGTTAAATTACCACCATATTACCTTTGTGTTTTTACATTCTCTTTGTATTACCGTACTGTTTTATTACCTTCATGTTATCATCAAGTTATTTCATATAATCTTCTCACTAGTATCATTTTGCTGTGATATTTCTCTTACGTCACCGTCACAGTTTTTTAACCTTTTTTTACTTTTGTCAAGTTTACGGGTGAAGGAACGGTAAAGGCAAACTAATGGTAGAGGGAACTGAAAGAACCAGATGATTATCTTAATATTACCATCATATTACATTCACCTTACTATAATGTTACCTTTAAGTCGCTGTTATATCACCTTCACATTAATGTCACATTACCTTCAGTTACCTTAATTTGGTGACTATTGTATAGATGAAGGAACAGTACAGGCAGGCTAGTGGATGAGTGACAGAAAGAACCAGCTAGTTATCTTTATATTACATTCATCTAACTTTCATATTATATTCATCTTACTATAATGTTACCTTCATGTTACTGTTGTTAATCACCTTCACATCAACGTCATATTACCACCCGTTACTTTTGTTACTGTTGTACAGGTGAAGGAACAGTACAGGCAGGCTAGCGGCGGGGTGACAGAACGAACGAGACAACTTGCTGAAGTGACAGAAGAATTGGAACGGATAAAACAAGAGATGGAAGAGAGAGGGTCAAGCATGACTGACGGATGTAAGTTGAACTTCCTTTTTGTAAACTTCTGTTACATGTTTGAGGAGCTGAGTGCAGTTCATTTGGTTGAGTGTCTGTGTGTTTAACAATAGATTGAATATGAATCAAGCTCAGGCAGATGGTTGAGGTGTGCATTATGTGTTAACATGCCCCTCCCCTGGCCCTTGGACACACTGAGGTACACTCGAAAAAACTCCGTCCCTCAGATAGGATGTAAATTGGAGCCCCATGTGGAGGAGAGCTGCCACCTTTCTATGTTAAAGGGAGTCACTCGTCAGTATCCATGTGCAGAAGGCCATAATTCCCTGACACCAGACTTGGTGGAAATACCATTAATGAGAGTACAATGAACCCGTAGGCCAGTCAAGAATAACCCCCTAATCTCTCGGAGAGCCCGAGAGTCTTCGGGTGAGGGAAAAGCAAAGCATTACCTAAGGTCTAATGGTCATAAAACTGAAGGCTAACTCTGGTGATTGACAACACCTGTTATTAGTTAAACACCCGAACGGTGTCGAATTCCCCATGAGAGCTGACTTCTATGTGTCTTTAAGAACACACTGGCTTAGAGGTACACCTGCACATTCTAAAACAGCAATGTGTTGATTTGTTTATGTTTTTTGTTCAACAACAAAAATTAGTTAATTTCATTATTTATATGGAAGTGTCTTAGTCGAGCGGTTCAAGCACTTAACTTGAAATGATACCTGACTCAACATTAACGTCCTTTGGCAAGGTGTTAATCTACATTTGCTACTCCATACCCTGGAGAGAAATGGGGACCTGATAGGATGACGAAAGCTTTTGTGTTAGTATTTGCCATATGCATTCACGGTGACCATATGGTAGGAATACTCCCCGGGGAGTGATGTTGGTGCACATTTTGTGTGAATAAATCTGATGATCGAGGTAATAATATCTGTAAAGCGCTCAGAGACGTTATTTCATATAAAAGGGATCCGGTAACTTTGTCTCAGATTCTGAAACAAAATCCTGGATTTAGCTCAAGCTGCAATGATAATTATAAACCTTAAGGTCAGTCAGGAATCCCATGACTTGTACAAGCCGATCCCGTGTCTAATTATCAAGATATTTATGATTTGAAATCGAAACAAAATTTTGCGTCTTCCTAACGGTTTTTCCTAACACTACAGTCTATTGAGGAAAACGAGTATGGTAAAACCGGTCTCTCAAAGATTTTTTACTTTTTTGAGGCTATTCTTGATCTTTTTGAAGCGCGATCTTTTTTGGCTTCAATATTACACTGTATCACAGACACTGATAACACATAGGGCCATGCATCTTAATTTTAACATTATTAAACGATGCCTTTAAGTGTTATGTAAACCCAGATTATTATTATTTTAATTTATTATTTATTTATTTATCTTGCAGCTCCGTTGGTGAAGATCAAGCAAGCTCTCCAGCGTCTGAAGAACGAGGTCATCCAGATGGATGTCAGGGTAGGGGTCGTGGAGCAAAACCTTCTTCAAGCAAAGCTCAAAGACAAGACTAACATGCAAAGGGATATGAATAAACCCATTGGAAATGCAAATGATTATGATTATTTAAAGGGATAAACACGATCGCATCTATTTTCAAGAAGCCAGATGGATGTCAGGGTAGGGGTCGTGGAGCAAAACCTTCTTCAAGCAAAGCTGAAAGACAAGACTAACATGCAGAGGGATATGAATAAACCAATTGGAAATGCGAATGATTATGATTATTAAAAGGGATAAACACGATCGCATCTATTTTCGAGAAACCAACACAAGGGGAATTTCAATACCCCATTGTACATCCGGCCATAGACATCATGTTCTGATTACCGGTATGTAGTATGTCGTTGTAATGATCACACATTTCAATAGGAGACCCACAGCTATTGAAATTGCGTTAGGTTGATTTTCTAAAGTAGTTGCGATCGAGATTATTAAAAGTTTGGGGTATGAATAACACAGACTATAGGCTAAGCATAAAAGCAATGTTGGAAGAGAAGTATATGCAGATTACTATAGGAGTTTAAAATAGGGGTTGTCGAGTAAAACTTCCAAGGAAAGCTGAAAGATAAGATTGTCATGCAAAGAGATGTGAATAAACATATTGGTATTAAAAGCTAATGAATATGATTGTAAAAAAAAGAAAACTAAATGGGATATGATTGGTACAGGCTACAGGCAGCGCAAAGATGTATAATGCAAAACCTTATCGGTTTGTTTGTTTACCTGACTGCTAAGAAAGCTAAGGAGCGTTTATGCTTGTATGTAAACAACCAGGGACAGACAGATTAAGGACTATCCGAGGGGCTTGCTATGGTACTGAGGATTAGTGCCTTATCAAAGGGCACACGCGCATCGACTTGCTTTTGATCCCAGGACCTTCCAGGTACGAGACCACTGCTCTACCCCTGAGCCTCCTCAAATATCAGGGATGCCAGTTTTCAGGCAATAGCCTAAATTTAGGCCCTGGCGAGTTATTTTCATAACATAGTTTAGGCTTTTTTTGTATACCAAACTAGCTCATTCTAGGTGATGTTCAGGCCCTCTGATCAATTTTAACTGGCATCCCTGAAATATGAATGTTTGTTTCAAATCTGGGTATGAATCACACATGCTAGTGAATATGATCATTAATTGTGTGACAGATTGTTAAAGGCCATGATGTAAGGCTCAAACCATACCTTACACAGTTTGATCCTCTCACCCTCATGGCAGTATCCCTCCATGCAGGAAGTAGCGAGTTCAGCTGAACCGCCTATGATCAGACGCAGGCCGCTTTGCAGCAAGAATGAAGCTCTGGGGTCTCAAAGACTCTGACCATGTCCATGTAGTCCAATTCAGACTGTATGAGTATGTTCTGAATGAGTGTGCTATACAGGACCCCCATGTCCCATCACTGATATTTACAACCCACATCTGGTGTTATATTGAAACAATTGTCAGTTTTAAATAGCTATGGTTGGTGTACGAACTACCATAACTGACCAATCACAAATAAAAATGGAGTACATTGACTTTTAGATTTCCATGAAATTCAATCTGCTTTGCTGCAATGAAAACTTTATGGATGGTAAATCAAATTTTTCATAAAAACATGACCTCATTTCACAAAGCCATCTTTATTACAAGTTCAGCAACATCCCATCCAAATATGCTTGAACAAGCGTTTAAATGAGATGCTGACGAACTTGTTCTTAAGATGGTTTTGTGAAACGATGCCTAGATTCCTATAAAGTTTTACATTTATAATCATTATTTTCATGCAACGGAATTCTTGACAGAGCAATAGAGAAATAGATTGAAGTATACTCTGGTAATGTAGTAGAAGTAGGAAACTTTGTTATCCATCAAATATTGGATATTGGAAATCATTGTGAATATCTGTGTTTAACATTATGTAAATTAATAAAGTTCTGTATATGTATGTAAATAGCTCTTTTTTGTGAAAATACATAGATGAGCACCATGTAATAAGTAGTTCTTTGTACATCTGTTGTAAAGTGTGAATAAAAAGCCTATTTGAAAAAAAAGTAACAAACCCAACATCCTTTGTGTGGTAATTTTGTACTTGAAGTCATTACACTCAGCTCATCCAGTAGTGTCTTTTGACATGCAGATTACACCAAGATGCAGGGTTTCCAGTCATGGATAAACTCATAAAAAATTCATAAAAAATAACTTTTTTGGGAAAGTCATGGAAAATGAAGAAAAAAATATTCCAAAGTCGTGGAATGTCATGGAAATTAATTGTGGGTGTGGGCCTTCCGGTTAGAACTTACAAATTTGTATGCCGATTGGATGCCACAATGAACCCACATCAAAATGGTACTTATCTGGTTATCGAAAAAGGCAAGATGGGTCATAGAAAGTTATTGGAATTTGTTTTTCACTTTTCTTAAAAAAATACCAGCTCTATTCCATGCCATATCTTCCACTTCACTATACCACTGCAAGTACCCCTCCCCCAAACCTCTGTCATACATTCTAAATCTCTCCTTTTTCTCGTTTGCCTGCTCTATTTCTCACTTCTCTTCCCCTAACCCCCCCCCCCCCACTCTTTCATACACTCCAAGATTTTGATCTCCTTCCTCCCTCTTACAGGTACATATTGGCCATCTATCTCTACATCCCTAATTATGATCTAAATCTCTCCTTTATATTCTCTTGCTCACTGTATACCTCTCCCTCCCTCTTCCCCCCACTCCCATGCACCCTCATCTCTCTCTCCCTCCGTTTCTTCTCCATTTCCTCCCTCCATCGCCACTCACATGCACCCTCATCTCTCTCCCTTCCCTCCCTGCCTCCCTTCCCTGCCTCCCTCTCTGGATTAAAACCTTACGAATAATTCATAAATTCAGACTTGGAATAAGAAATACAACAAATAATTTAATCTTTGACATATACTCTGTACACATAAACATGGTATGCACAAAATGTTTGTTATGAACATATTTCAGATGTAATAACATTTCAATTTTAGTTAATTTGGAATCCTTTGCATATCATAAATACAAGGCTGTACACTTACAAACCATAAGGTCATATGATGGTCATATGATTTGGACTACAGTGATCAGATTTTCTTCTTGAAATTGGAAACATTTTTTTATTGCTACATTGTTCTCATTAAAATCATGTATCTTCAAAGAATATTGATTTATACACTGATGAGAGGTATGTCGTACAGTAAACACACACTGGTATGCCAGTTTGTATTGAAAAATTGTGATTTTGGCAAATTCAACATGTCACAGAGTTCAGGATTTCAATGCATATTTCCCTCCTATACAAGAAGAGTTGGGCCAGATATATATTATCACAGTTTCATTCATTCCTGCCAAATTTTCACTTCAGGAAGATATGACAAAATTTGTCTCTGTTTATACAAAATCATAAGGCACACAAAACTTGGTACTCATCTAAAGTAGTTAAAAATGGAAGACGAAGAAAAACAAAAACATTATCAAGCACTGGAATAATCCTTGAATTGTATATATACATACATGTAGAGTTGGGCCAGATTTACATTATCACAACTTCACTCATTCCTGTCAACTTTTCACTTCAGGAAGATAAACAAATTTTGTCTCTATTTATAGTATATACAAAGCATAAGGCACAAAAACTCGGTACACATCTACTGATAGTTAAAAGTGTAAGAAGACAAAGAAAAAACAAAAACATTATCAAGTACATACATGTCCAGTTGGGCATGATCTACATGATCACAACTTCACTCATTCCTGTCAACTTTGCACTTCAGGAAGATATGACAAAATTTGTCTCTGTTTATACAAAATCATAAGGCACACAAAACTTGGTACTCATCTAAAGTAGTTAAAAATGGAAGACGAAGAAAAACAAAAACATTATCAAGCACTGGAATAATCCTTGAATTGTAGATATACATACATGTAGAGTTGGGCCAGATATACATTATCACAACTTCACTTATTCCTGCCAACTTTTTACTTCAGGAAGATAGACAAATTCTATCTCTGTTTATAGTTTATACAAAGCATAAGGCACACAAAACTTGGTACACATCTACTGATAGCTAAAATGGAATGATACAAAGAAAAACAAAAACATTATCAAGTACTGGAATAATCCCTGAATTGTAGATGTACAAAACGTTGGACCAGATATACATTATCACAACTTCACTCATTCCTGCCAAATTTTCACTTCAGGAAGATAGACAAAATGTTTGTGTCTGTTTATAGTATATACAAAATCATAAGGCACACAAAACTTGGTACACATCTACTGATAGCTAAAATGGAATAATACAAAGTAACACAAAACATTATCAAGTATTGGAATAATTCCCAAATTGTAGAGTTGGGCCAGATATATATTATCACAGTTTCATTCATTCCTGCCAAATTTTCACTTCAGGAAGATAAACAAATTTTGTCTCTATTTATAGTATATACAAAGCATAAGGCACAAAAACTCGGTACACATCTACTGATAGTTAAAAGTGTAAGAAGACAAAGAAAAAACAAAAACATTATCAAGTACATACATGTCCAGTTGGGCATGATCTACATGATCACAACTTCACTCATTCCTGTCAACTTTGCACTTCAGGAAGATAGACAAACATGGTCTCTGTTTAGTATATACAGTATATACATCACTAATCACTCTGAGACAAGTGACTCCTGATCGGAATGAGTGCAGTTGAGAAAATCTGGGTATAATGAATTTCTTTAGGGAGCCAACTGTGTATCCTCAACTTGTGTGAACCTGAACAGAATGCATACAATTAAGTACAACAAGCTAATGTAAATACTACATAAAATAACAATTACAATACAAAACAACCTCATAGTCAATATTGCATACTAGGGCTTCTTTCATTTTCAACCAAACAGGATAGCATATTTAAATAATAAGCACATACATGTATGTTTGAAATTATGGTATTTTATTGCTAACAATAATATGCTTAAGGCATGTCCAAATTTAGTAAAACGGAATAATCGTAATATATCTATCTGTCGGCCTCACAAGCAAATATCCTTCAATTAAAGTCAACTATTTATAATGATATGTGTTCCAGGCTTCTTGTGAAGGACACACAATTTACTAATACCGAAATTCTGTATTCCACTAATACAGTTAAACCTGAAAATTTAGACCTCAAACTTTGTTAATAATACTATAATATTCAAGATTTATATAGCGATTGAAACATATATGATGTCTCTAAGTGCTTTAAACAAATGTCATTACTCTGGTCATAAATTTTAGGCTTGCCTGCACACAATGTAACAACATTCTCCACTCTCTGGGGAGAAATTCAGCCAGGTGTCATTTCAAGGTTCCTTTGTTAAACCTGCGATTTTGAATAAAAGCCTAAACACAGTGTCACGTTTAAGAGTTCATATTGCCCCAGTTGGAAGCTTCACATGAATACTCTATATACTTCACCAAATCTCCGACCTCTGCATTACCACCAGTCCTTGTCTTCCACTGTGCCAAGCAATCCCTCGTAGCTCTCTGGTAGTCCATGTTAAACCTGGCTAGGATGAAGTTGGCTTCGTAGTATCCGATGCAAAGATGTGTGCATAGCGTTGCGTAAGACCTGGGAGGCATGTGTTTCGATAATGTGTTAAGTATTCTATCTGATT